GTAGAGAAGGGATGGGGGGGCATGGTGGTGTCAGGCCAAATAACCCAGGTCCAGGTATAAAATGGTGCTTATAGAAAGTGGTAACTCTTACTTGCTTAGGAAGTCCGGGTAATATTTGTTAACAGGAATTACAGAGCAATCTTCCAGTTGTAACCTCATGCGATCTTCTGTTTATTCAAATGCTTACTAAAGAACAACAAACCCCTCCCCACACAGACACCTCAAAACTTCATGAGAACATAAAGTGAAAAAATGGATTGGCAAAGACACTTAAATTCATGAACTTGCTTGGACAAAGCAAATTCATAAAAAATTTTAAAAAAGCATGTGGAAGAGCAGCTGAAGGAAAGTGAATAAATGGTGAGCTATGCAATTCAGAGTGAATAAAGGTAGAAGAAGTAAAGGTCTGGGGAAGAGTGAGAAAGAGGATGAGTGAAGCTAAAATTACTTCACTCTTGTGGGTCTTGTTAGCATATGTGCTGCTGTCAACGGCAAGAATATTTGTGTTTGTAATTTTGGAGAGAGACAAGTTTCTGCTGATGACAAAGGTGCAGTCTAATTCTGTCATCTGTGCTTAGAGCAGAATGAAATTAAAGTTCATCGGCGATGAGAAAGTGAAGGAACTAAGACTGAGGGTGTGCATATCTGTGCGTGCGCTCAGTCGCGTCCAGCGCTCTTTGATCCCAGGCACTGCGGCTCTCTAGACTTCTCTGTCCATGGATTTCCCAGACAAAATACTGGAGTGGGCTACCATTTCCTTCTCCAAGGGGTCTTCCCGACCCAGGGAACACACCAGGGTTCATCTCTCGCATCTCTGGCATTGACAGGCGGATTCTTTACCACTCTACCATGATAATTCACATAAATGGTGAACTCCCAAGAAAGCCGATAGAAGCTGGAGCAGAGAACAAGGGGGAGATAATGAAATCTTCTGCAAGGGGGATACAGGTTGGGAGAAGGGCAAGGTTAGCAGATGACTGGATCAACCTGGTGGAGCGCCTGGCAGAGCCAAATGGCATAAAACTCAAAAGTTATAACAAGAGGGACGGGGGACTGGTCTGGCTGGTGCCCTGGAGAAAGTAAATCTTGACTTTAGTACCTGACTCTGAGGATGCACCTGTGAGACTAAACAGCCTCACCCGGAAAGGCCTCAGGGAAAAAAGGAAGTCCTACTTAAGGCCAAATGGTGGTAGAAATGTTCTGAAACAAGATTGGGAGTTTAACAATGGAGTTTGCTGATCATGGGAAAAGAATTCCAAAAGCAGAATGATTAAATTATTAAGGAAGATGTTGGAATATAATTATCTGGAGGACTCTGTGATAAGGAGACATTCCTAGCTACACCTATTATATATCCAACTCAAAATTATTCACTCCTTTTATACGCAAGGGGCTGTGCCTTTAACAAGTTTTTCAGTCATAAGTCATCAAGAACCAAGTAGGATAGGAAAGGCACATAGTCTGCTGGACAGCTCAGATGTCATGACCCCAATGCAAACAGTAGGAAATTATTTCCAAAAGTCAATAATATCTACAAATACTTATGGAAAGATGAATTTAAAATGGCCTCTACAGTAATATAAAACATGTTTTAAATCAATTCTAGTATTATTTTGAAGCACATCAAATAAAATTAATTCATTTCTAATCAAACTACTAAAATATTCTTTAAAGCAAGACTTTACTGAGAGGCAAAATTTAAAAATTAATATGTGTACACACACACACACACATATCTCAGCTTTTGGACTAACTGTATTCATCAAACCTTGCCCTAAAGGAAACCAGACAGAAGTTTACACAAATTAACTGGTTACAGAAAAACTTAGACATTATCTAACTGCAAGGAGATCAACCCAGTCAATCATAAAGGAAATCAACTGATGTTCAAGCTCCAATACATTGGCCACATGATGCGAAGAGCCGACTCACTGGAAAAGACCCTGATGCTGGGAAAGACTGAAAGCAAATGGAGAAAAGCACAGCAGAGGATGAGATGGCTGGATGGCATCACTGGCTCAATGGACATGAATCTGAGCAAATTCCAGGAGACACAGGGAAGCCTATGACTTAGCAACCAATCAACAAGAACAATAATATATACTTTTAAATGTTCAAGCAATATTGTACAGAAGGACACTATGTTTAATTATGATATAATGCATGTATTATGGCTCATAGTGAAAAAACCCTTGACATTGCCTAGACAGAAATCAGGACAACAGAACACGGAAAAATTCCTTTTTCCCAATGTGAAAATGTTCAAAAAACAGACCATCAACAAGGACCTACTGGACAGCACTGCTACTGGACTGCTCAACAGTCTGCAATAACCCACATAGGAACAGGATCTGGAGAAGAATGGATATATGTGTACATATAACTGAATCACTTTGCTGTACATCTGAAACCAACACATTGTAAATCAACTCTACCCCAATATAAAATAAAAATTACATGAAAAAAAAAGTTCAATAAGGTTCCTGCCTGGAAGAATTCTGAAGGCATTTAAAATTAATAGAAAACGCTGCTGCCGCCACACTTAACCCCAGGTTCTGAATGGACCAGCTACTGTAGGACACCGTCCCATGGTCATCGAAGCACGGTAGGTGAACACACAGACCAGCGTCGGAGGCTGACGTCCTCCCTGTGTGGCACAAGCTTTCCCGAGCCTGGCTGCAGGCTCACTGAGCCAGCTACGCATGTTCCCCGGAGGAACCGCCCCAACCCAGCCGGGTCACAGAACGAGGAGCGTGTATTCCACCGCTGAGAAGGTGCTGTGGAATAACAGCAAGGGTCTTCTCACTCCCGGCTTCCCCTGTGGCTCAGCTAGTATCCGCTGCAATGCGGGAGACCTGAGCTCAATCCCTAGGTTGGGAAGATCCCCTGGAGGAGGGAAAGGCTATCCACTCCAGTATTCTGGCCTGGAGAATCCAGGGACTGTATAGTCCATGGGGTCACAGAGAGTCGGACACGACTGAGTGACTTTCACTCCATTTCACTTCTTCTCACCCCCCTGAAGCTGCCACAGCGCAAGTCCCTATCAAACTTTCTCTTGTTTCCTGAGTTGCGACTTAGGAGGACCTTGGAATCAAACACTGAAGGGAGCTTCAAGGGCAGCAACATTTGTAATTATTGCCCAGTTTTCCACAAAAAGTAAAGTTTTGACTTGGGCATAATCACAATAAATAACCTATATATTATACAAACATTTAAAAATACCTCTTTTATAAACAGTGCTGTGATGAACATTGGGGTGCACATGTCTCTTTCAGATCTGGTTTCCTCGGTGTGTATGCCCAGGAGTGGGATTGCTGGGTTGTATGCCAATGTTCATCACAGCACTGTTTATAACAGCCAGGACATGGAAGCAACCTAGATGCCCATCAGCAGACGAATGAATAAGAAAGCTATGGTACATATACACAATGGAATATTACTCAGTCATTAAAAAGAATTCATTTGAATCAGTTCTAATGAGATGGATGAAACTGGAGCCCATTATACAGAGTGAAGTAAGCCAGAAAGATAAATACCAATACAGTATACTAACGCATATATATGGAATTTAAAAAGATGGTAACGATAACCCTATATGCAAAATGCAAAAAGAGACACAGAGGTATAGAACAGACTTTTGAACTCTGTGGGAGAAGGTGAGGGTGGGATGTTCTGAGAGAATAGGATTAAAACAAGTATACTATCAAGGGTGAAACAGATGAAAAAAGAAAGAAAGAAATATTACCTAGATTATGTGAGTTCTTTACTGATCATTTATTGAAGTCAACAGTTCTCAAAGTGTGGTGCCCAGATCAATAGCATCAATATTGCCTGGAAATTTTTAAGTGCAAAACTGGATTTCACCCCACACCTTCTGAATTCTGACACAGAAACTCTGGGTATTGGGACTTAGAAATCTGTATTCTAACAAGTTCGCTAGTTGACTCGGATGCATGATCAAGTTTGAGAACCACAGCTCTACGTGAATGTCTGCTGTGAATTCTAAAATTCTCTCCCTGAGCAAAAGAAACTGAAATCAGGTCACAAGAACCCTGATAATACATCCCAGAGATTCATAATTACATGACTCTAGTAAATTGTCTAGTAAATTACAGTATCATATTGAAGGTTTCTTTTAGGTAAATAAATGTTTTGATGGGAATTTTGCCCCTTTCTTGGTATGATGATAATGCTGGAATCCAAGTGCAAAATGAAAGGGTACGTACACAATTTACTGAGTTAGAGCAAGGCTAGCTAAAAGGAATAGTCATATCATATGACTATGGAAACTGTTGGAAACATACTAAAAATAATTTTATATTCATACTTGTTGTATACTACCGAATATAATTTTTACATATTGTTCTTTCAATAAAGATGACTCATTCCTCCCCAAAAACTAAAATAATAAAAATACCTCTTTTAGCGCTTCCCTGGTGGTTCAGTGGTCAAGAAATCGCCTGCCAGTACGGGAGACACCAGCTTGGTCCCTGATCCTGGACGATCCCACATACCAGGAGCAGCTAAGCACACATACCGTAACTACTGAGTCTGTGCTCTCGAGCCGAAGGAGCCGCAACTACTGAGCGCATGAGCCCGACAGCCCATGACCCGCAGCAGAAGAAGCCACTCGCAACGAGAAGCCCAGGGACTGCAGTGAAGCCTAGCCCCCGTTCGCTGAGACCAGAGGAAAGCCCTCACAGCAAGACCCACCACAACAGCCTCTTTGGATTGCTGCTCCTTATTTCAAAAGTTGTACTTGCTGATCTGAGGACTAAAATTCACTCTTCTTCACTGTGACTCTTATGCCATCATCTTCACTAAACAGTTTATCATGTGGAATCTCAGACATAATGCCATTTATGACATAGCCTATATTTTCTCAAACTTTCCAGGATATCAGGTACTGTTTCACATATTTCCATGGATTTTTTTAAGCAAACTCTTTAATCTTCCTATTTTTAAATATTGATAAAATTCCTAGCTGAAAAATACAGAGTTCAAAACTTTTCTACTAGAAGTGGCAAGCGGTAAGTTATACGAACATTCTGAACTCCAAAATATTTGTTACTAGAACATTCCCTATAGAGGGAATGAAAAATACAAGTGTTATATTTGTCAATAAAACATATAACACAAACTGTGACAGACCATTAAGCTGATTTGTAGGAAAAGATACTTATTTAATTACAACCTTTAGAAAAACAACAACATGGCCATACCTACACAACCTTGCCCACCCCTCCTATCCTATCTTGTCTGGATGTTAACTGACATACAGGAAGACACACCATAGGCACAGAGTCTCGGCTTGCCCCTGGGATGGCTTTTCATAAAAAGCTAAGCACCTTCTCTAAGAGAAAGCTGTGGTTCGCAGTGAAAGGTTCTGATTCATCACAGAGGAGGTATCTCTCTTCCTGCTGGAACCACTGGTGAAAAGGAAAGCCCTCGTTTCTCAAGGTCTCTTAGTTATTGGGGCAATATAAAAACCAATGGCCACTATAAACCTTAAAAATATAAACTGTAGGTTTTTGTGACTTTTCTCATACATTAGCAGTTATTCCAAAAAAAAAAAAAAGAATCTTCACCTGTATCTAAGCCCTTTCTTCCTTACAAATATGCCTAATCAATAAGGAAAAAATACCCTAATGACATTTCACTATCAGACACTTGAACAGAAAGAGAAATTAAATGGGTGACTAATACTTTCCTACAAACAAGAAAGAAAGGTTATTGAATTTAAAAAGTGTTTCTAATAATCTAGGTTTGTCAAACTGTTGTGACCTAGCTTGTGACCATTGCTAACTTCTCTAGTCTCAATTTTCTTCCATATAAAATGAGGTGACTAACCAACTACAACTGAGATCATAAGAGTAAAAGTCAATTAACATTTGAGTCCATTATTATTAAACTTCTATTTTTATGTATTTCATTCTCAATTAATATGATTACAAAGGGGATAGACTTACTTGTCAACTACATTAAGTCCCTTTCCCCTACCACACTCACTAATGAAGAGATTGCAGGTTTCAAGATAACCATTCAGTAAGTGAAGGACCATAAAATCATTCTGTGTCTGCAGTAAAAACCTTAAAAAGTTTTTACTTGACTATGTCAGCTTCATAACTAGTTCAGTTCAGTTCAGTCTCTCAGTTGTATCTGATTCTTTGTGACTCCATGGACTACAGCACGCCAGGCCTCCCTGTCCATCACCAATTCCCACAGCTTGCTCAAACTCATGTCCATCAAGTCAGTGATGCCACCCAACCATCTCATCCTCTGTCATCCCCTTCTCCTCCTGCCTTCAACCTTTTCCAGCATCAGGGTCTTTTCCAATGAGTCAGTTCTTCGAAAGGGTGGTCACAGTATTGGAGTTTCAGCTTCAGCATCAGTCCTTCCAATGAATATTCAGGACTAATTTCCTTTAGGATTGACTGGTTGGATCTCCTTGCAGTTCATGGGACTCTCAAGAGTCTTCTCCAATACCACAGTTCAAAAGTCTCATTTATTCAGTACTCAGCTTTCTTTATGGCCCAACTCTCACACCAATACATGAATACTGAGAAAACTATAGCTTTGACCAGATGGACCATTGTCATCTAGTCTGTCACTGTTTCCACTGTTTCCCCATCTATTTGCCATGAAGTGATGGGACTGGATGCCATGATCTTCATTTCTTGACTGTTTTTTTACTTCATTTTTTGACTTCATCTTTTGATTATTTCATAACTAGAAATAATACATATATTACATGGAGATTTCTGCAACAAAATTTAACTGTGGCTATCTCTTGTATGTAGATGTTAGTGTGATGTTTACTCTCTTCAAATTTTCTAGATTTTTACACATTTAAACAAAGTGAAAATATTTTAACAATCATAATTACAACACCATTTTAAAATGATGATTTTGTTTTGAGGACAATATATTTAAGAAAATTGTAAGTAGAGTAAGAAAGTAACACATTCTTGGAAAACAGAAATCAGTTTTACATTATAAAACCTGATCATGTGTTCTGTTTGTTTATCATTCAGAATATTTTTTCAAATGGTTTCAATATAATAAAGCTTTAAATGCTTTGCTCTAAGCATTCTTGATTTGATTTTTCACACTGTGTATTTTAAGGACTGTTCATCTGATTGCATTTTGTTCATTTAAACTCATCTCATCAAAATGCAAAATTTTAAGAGCTATTTTATCTCCAAAAAGACATTTAAGTCTAATTTATGTCCCTATTTTTCTTAGAAAAAGCAAAACAAATTTTACTAAAAGTAAATGAACTTGAGCTCCAAAAGTTCAAGGCTGACAATAGAGGTAATAAACATCATGAGACTTTAAAGCACTCTGGCCTTCAATTCTTATTCAAAAAGTTTATTTACCTGCATATCACCAGCACTCTACAGAACTTTTCCTCTCCCTTAGAATCTCATATTCCATATTCGTCTTTAACACAGACAATGAACGGTGGCCCATTTCCTAGGAACAGGTGGTAATCTGCTATAAACCTCTAACTGACCTAGGCCTTGATCCCGACTTCATCCTTCCCAAATTTTCAGTGTCTGGTGCTGGTCATGATTTTTTCAAGATCATTTCTTGATCAAGATTCTGGTGTATGGTCTTCAGTTATCTGCATGATAGATTTTGAACTTGCTTGCTCCCAATATGGACTAGAGCTCCACCATGAGCTGCGTTTTACCAGCAGACTCCCCATTCTCACAGACGTTCTTCCATTTGAGGACTGCTTTGTCCTAAATCTCTCCTTCTGTCTTATATTAGGAACACAGGCTGTCCTGTTTGCCATTCCCCTCTTTCTCTTGTCCTGTGATTTTAATTCCATCAAATCTCTAATTTAGTTTCAAGATTTTGATTTTAAACATACTAATTTCTCTACCTAAAACATCCTTTGGAATCTACCATTCACTAGAATGAGCAAATACTTAGTTGTACTCAAGACAATTTGTATTGAAATTTATAGTTGATTTACAATGTTGTGCTCATCTCTGCTATACAGCCAAGTGACTCAAGTATACACATATAGACATCCTTTTTTGTTGTTGTTTTTACCTTATTTTCCATTATGGTTTATCACATGATATTGAATACAGTTGCCTGTGTGATACAGTAGGACCTTGTTGTTTATCCACCCTATATATCCTAGTTTATATCTGCTCATCCCAAATTCCCAGTGCTTTTCTCACCCAGCCATGCCCTGCTGGCAATCACACGTCTGTTCTCCATGTTTGTGAGCCTGTTTCTGTTCTGTAGCTGAGATCATTTGTGTCATATTTTAGATCCCACCTGTATGTAACATTGTACAATATCACTTTCTCTGATTTACTTCACTCAGTATGATGATAATCTCTAGTTGCATCCATGTAGCTAAAGATGGCATCATTTCATTCTTTTTTTAATGACTGGGTAGTATTCCATTGTATACATGTACCACATGTTCATTACCCATTCTTCTATTGATGGACATTTAGGTTGTTTCCATGTCTTGGCTACTGTGAATATGCTGCTATGAACATAGGGGTGCAAGCATCTTTTTGAATTATAGTTTTCTCCAGGTATATGTCCACAAGTGAGATAGCTGAATCATATGGTAATTCTATTTTCAGTTTTCTGAGGAACCTCCATTCCTTCCAACAGTGTAGAAGGGCTCCCTTTTCTCCACATCCTCTCCAGCATTTGCTATTTGTAGACTTCTTAATGATGGGCATTCTGACTGGTAAGCTTCCCCAATGGATCAGAGGGATAAAGAATGCATCTGCAATGCTGGAGATACAAGAAATGTGGGTTCAATCCCTGGGTCAGGAAGATCCTCTAGAGGAGGAAGTAGCAACCTACTCCAGTATTCTTGCCTGGAAAAACCCCATGGACGGAGGAACCCAGCAGGCTACAGTCCATAGGACTGCAAAGAATTGGACATGACTGAAGGACTTAGTACACATTTTGACTGGTGTTAAGGTGGTCCCTTATTATGGTTTTGATTTGAATTTCTTTCATAATTGGTGATATTAAGCATCTTTTCATGTGCCTACTGGAGATCTGCATGTCTTCTTTGAAGAAATGTCTATTTAGGTCTTCTGCCCATTTTTTGATTGGGTTGTTTGCTTTTCTGGTTGTTGAATTATATGAGCTGTTTGTATATTTTGCAGATTAAGCCTTTGTGAGGCAGGCTAAAGAGTCTGAGGTTTATATGATGATCTTTGGGAGACACTGCACTTCCAAAGCCAGGAGCTACCATGTCAGATGGTACTTTGGGGAGCTTGAAAATAACATCAGAGTAGGATTGAGAATTGAGTGCAATTTAGCTACTACCAAACCTAGCCTACAGTAATAGGACACTATAGTAAGATGATATATGGGATAGACAGGGGAAAAAATAAAAAACCCCACATAAGATGCCCCACAATACGTGTCTGGAACAGGCAAGAAAAGGTTTTACAGCCACCCTGCCTCCAGGCAACTGAAAAGACACATGGCACTGTAGGAGATGATAAAAGAGGTGAAGTAACTAGGGGAGGCCACTTTCCCATAGAACCTATATACGCATGTGCTCAATTGTGCTCGGTTGCTTCAGTCATGTATATATATACATACATACACATATATGTGTGGTGGTGGTTTAATCACTAAGTTGTATCCGCATGGACTGTAGTCTTCCAGGCTCCTCTGTCTGTGGGATTCTCCAGGCAAGAAGACTGGTGTAGGTTGCCATTTCCTTCTTCAGGGGGTCTTCCTGACCCAGGGATTGAACGCACGTCTCCTGCTGGGCAGGTGGATTCCTTGCCACAGAGCCGTCAGGGAAGCCTCGTGTAACTATTTATACGTAAGAGGACACAAATGGAGAAGGGGAAGGTAGAGCCTCTTAGCCGGCTGATGACTCTGAGGCTTGGGTAGCGCTACACCTGCAAAGCTCCTGAGGGCTCAGTGAGAGCATGCCTTTCCTATTCCTTCAAAGGGTCCTCTCCTCCCTCCATACCAGAGACACCTATTACTCACTCATATGCGATAAAAACACAGTGGAATGCCAAGCACAGTTGCTGAACTGAGAAGACATTAATATTCCATGTTCCTTG